CCATAAGTATATTTCTTATGTTTATTTTTTAATTTTTTTTTAGTTTAGATGAAAGTTATGATTTTAATGGTGAAATTTTTTTTATTTTGGAGAGTTTAATGTTACATTTTGAACATTTTTCGTTTGTTAGATTTATTAATCAGTTATCAAGATAAAAATTATTGAAAGAATTTTGGTTTGAAAATGTTATTAATATAAAATTATGATAAGCTATTGAATATTAATTAGAAAGTTTTAAATTGTTGATATATTTAGTAATTATAGTATTCAAATATTAATTTTTAATTTATTATATTTATTTTGATTTTTTAATAAATTTTATTTTTTATTAAAAAATAAAGAAAAATACTCGCCTGCAACTGCAAATGCTCGAGGGAAGCCGCTTTTGATTTTCAGAGGTTTGGAACGATATGGAGCGGTATAGAACAGTATAAAACGTTTTTCATGATTGTTGTCAAACGCTAACAACCGCTACCACCTGCAAATGCAGCGTTTACGGATGATAGCGGGAAATATATATAGAAATCGTTCGACATAGAAATATAGACTGATTGATATGATTTTAGCATATTGATGGTTAATTACTTACCACTTTCAGCCAAATGAGTTATTTTTATGAGTTGAGCAATTCACATTCGAATTGAAATTGTGTAATCAGAAGTGAAAGGATCAAAAGATTTGTAAATTTTAATTCATTTTGCTTCCAAGTAATTATTTAAAGAAGTTCGTATAGAGTGGTAGTCCCAACAAAAAATTCCATGGCGTGAATGTGGAATGCACATTATTCGTGTTAAAGACTAAGCACACTTTCAACGGATTAGGCCAACAAAACGCGACCTGTTTTTAAGAAATGAGTGTCGGCTCTCTCTTCTCCCCGTTTCTGAGGGAACTAACAGAACAATTATTCTCTTCTCCCCGTTTCTGAGGGAACTAACAGAACAATTATTATTCTACAGTTTAAAATGCGCTCAATTTTGAAAATCAAAATTCACTTAATGTTAAAACTACTTTAACACGATTAGTAATAGGTAAAAAATGTTTTCAGTTATGTCATATCTGAACACAAGCATGATCCTTTGCATTTGAGAATAAATAAGCGTTGGTGTCATGTACTTTTCTATTTATTTTCGTCATGTTGATGTTTTTTTTTTTTTTTATCTGAACATATTATATTAAACACCGGTTGGAATACAAGGATGTTTTACATTATTGGAATACAAAGGTAGAATACGAGGGTGGGATTCGAGGGTGTGATACTAAGGAGGAACCATACCGAGAACCTCAAGACCAAATGACAAATCCTAAAAACCGAAAGACCAAACTATATCTAAAAAGTATGCTAACACCAAATTTAAAATCCAAGCAAGACATCTCCAACTCTAACAAATCTAAGTGCTATCCTTCTAAAGAACAACCAAACCACAGAACACATGCTTCGAATACGCGGTAGGGATAAAGGAGACAATGGAGCTGCAAACTCCTCGAGAAGAAGTCACCGAAACTCGAAAGCAAAGCTAAACCAAGTGATAGTGACTCGAACCAACAAAACCCAGGGAGAGAAGATCATCAGCAAGCAAGTTAGAACCCAATCATGTCCTCAGTTTCTTCAAATTGATACACAACCCAAAACTCGTAAGCATGGCGTTGGTATGCATAAATGCCAACTGAAGAATGATTCGATAAGCGGACAAAGAAGATACTAAGCAGCCAGCATGTCGAGGAAACAACCACGATTACATCTTCATCACCAAAAAAGAGTCACCCATAACCCAGCAACACCAAGGCATCACCTTTACCAAGCGCATGATACAAGAAAAGCAAAAGCACATAAATCATCCGGAGAGGAGATATAGCTTGGACCAAACCCAGAGATAACAAACACTCCTAGACATACACAATTCGATCTCTGAAACAACCAAATGAGGTTTTGCATCGAGGAATAAATAACTCACAGACCAACAGCAACAAGTATGAAATTCTCCACCAGCACAATCAACAGGGACAAAGAGGAGTAAGGCTAGAGACCATCTAGTACCAACCGAAATCGATACCAAAGATCTAAGACCCAACTAACCCGACCTTGCTAACCACAGACAGAGAAGAAGATACCTCTGTGCCACCAGGCGAGAAGATGAACCAACCACTAGCCCCACCGTCCAACGAGCCGACGAACCGAGAGAAGGATCGGCCGTACCTCAACACTCACCAAGCCAGATCTCGAGATCTCGCAATCAAGACACGGAAAAACCATCYCCAGAACTACAGAAGCCTATCATACATGAATCTAAGAAGCAAAACCCGACCGACGGCGGAGCTATCGGAGCCTCCGACTGTCGGCCGAGGGAACAACAATCGTTTAGGTTTTCGCCTTCAAAGAGAGAAATTGGGGGCGCGTGAGATTCACTTTCTACAGCAATCGTTTAGGTTTTCGTCGTGTTGATGTTAACTTACCCCTTTTTGTTGAAATTGTGACAGTAAGAAAAAAAAAGGACATTGGGCTTCAGATTCGCAAGCTATCCTACTAGAGATGGTAACAGAATTCAAATTCATATTTTATATGTCCATTAACAAAAACAAAAGCATTCATACTCCCTACTCTTTATTAAAAAAAAAAAAAAATGGGTTTTACAATAAAA